GGGGGGGGGGGTTAGGGGGTAGACAGTATTGACAGGCAAGGCTACGTGTTGTCTAAGTTGCTGGAGCACTTTGCTTTTTTAGCTTTGTAGTCAGATGCTACAAGAAAGCAGCTAAGAACATGTGTGCAGGTTTCTCCCTCAGTGATCGCTTTTTGATGGCACAAAACAGTGGACGAAGGATTAGAGCGGGTGGGGTGGGAACAAGTCCACCCCCCTTATACACACACAACTCATATGTAGAGGGGGCATCTTTCACTGTGGGGACAAGATGTGGAGACTGAATTAACATCTTGACTGTTTTTCTGTCTGTGCATGAATGTAAAAATAAACAGTGACTTTTGGCTTTGCTTAAAAACCTGAAAAGGGGCTTTGGCAGGATACATCTGTAAGCACTTAAAAAATAAAAGACACCCATAATACTTTAATAGAGCCATGTTGGAGAGGCTTTTAGGCACAAGGTGTTCCAGTGTTAGTGTACGGGTACGTCTGTCTTCGTTGATCTCATCAAAGGGCCAAAGGGTCGCCGAGAGCCAGAAAAAATAACTTCAAGTGTGGATTTAATGAAGAATAAACTTACACTCAAGTTACACTTACAGGAACTACTTTTGAAACCAGCTCTCTGGCTGCCAGTCAGTCACATTATTTACAAAATACCTCACTGCTGTTACTGACCAGGGCTCTCTGTGTGTTCTCAGGTATCTGAACCACGTGCGGGCTGCCATGCCTCAGGACACAGCTGGAGGATACACCTCAGCTTTGGCATGTCATCGAGCTATTCAGGATGCTTTCGGTGGGCTGTTCCCTCAGAAAGGCTGAACGCATCCACAGCTCAAACAGCACAACAGCCACTGGTTAGAAATGTGATAAAAGGACTATTAAAAACCGCACAGCTGCAACCATGGAGAGGGCAAAAGCTGCTGTGGTGGAAAGCGCTCTAACTGATTTTTGGTCAGGTCTTTTTATATTTTGTGTTATTTTTATATTTAAATAAATCACAATGAACACAGAGAATCTGCCCGTTATTTTATAGATTTATTTAAAAGTGAAAAGTATGATGTTCTAATACATTCTTTGTTGTGTGAACAAATGGAAGTAATTTACGTAAAGTCGGGTTATGATTTCTTATGATAAGATGCAACAACATCTGTAATAAAAGCATCAGTAAAACGCTCCTTGTAAAAAAAAAAAAAAAAGAAAAAGAAAAAAAAATTCTCAACTCCCAAAAATAATTCCTTGATCCTCATAATGCGGTCAATATACAACTAAAAACATCGAAATCCCGTAGCTTCTCAACCACTTCTGTCTCTTTGGGCCGTTCTTGAGGCTCTGTGGACAAAACCAAAAATCTGTTTTTAGAAATGAAAATAATGTTAACAATTTATTATCCACCAAGTGGAAACATAGGCCTTTGAGCCAAAATCCTGGCATTAAATCAAGAACATACAACCAACACTCGACAGTGAAAAAAGACTATTCCATTCATGTATTACCGTCTGCTGACTATCGCTACAACCCAATTGTAGTCAAAATGTCACGCACCAGCGTTTAAGATTCCCATCCGCGAACAGGTCCCTGCCACTTGCCCACTCTGCCCTAATGTGACAAAATTTCTTACATTTAAAGTAAAACATTCTAGTTACCCACAATCCTATACATCTGTTGGTGTGTGCACACGATGTACCTTTACACCCTGAACTTGATAGGGAATTGAATCCGGATCGACCTTTGTCGACCCTCGACATCTCCCACTGGAACCGAAGCACCAGTCTGCCCTCATCCCAACAGCCGACGCCTCAGGTCGACTCGCGCTCTTGGCCAGTCCTCCTCATTTAATTTACCAATTCTTCTTACACGCGCCTCGAACCCAGGAACACGGAGGCCGACCCCCCTGCTAAACGTGGCCGATCCGCCTAAAATGGGGGTCCGCGACCCCACAGGCTTCAGACCCTGCTGTAAGGCCAACTAAAAAGGTTGTAAAGCAGGGAAGTTAAGTCCCCGTAGATTCAGTCTTCTAACCCTGCGAAAAGAGCTGCCCACTTTACTTAACTAGTTCCTCCACCCCCTGTCTGTAATGCCAGTTAACCTCTTACCAGTCTGTTCGTCGAATCCAACTGCGAAAGAGGACCCTCTTTAGGCGAAGTGTGACATCCCACCCACACCATCATAATCCTCTGCGCGGTACACATACGCCCAAAATGCACAGAACACCGTTCTCAAAGGACACCGAAGCTCGCGCGGACAGCCAACTTCAACCCCACGTCCGTCTCACGTCGTCTCTTCTTGAGCGCAAACCAGCTAGCAGGCGCGGACTCCGGGCTACGCGCCTTCTCTCCCCACAGGAAGGCCCTCGGTGCAACCAGACCTCTGAAATGCATCCAGGACTCCCAAAGAGCAAAGGCAGGCAGGTTCATCCCCAAACACATGTGAACACCAGCGTTTTCTCTCCTTCAGGCAACGGCGCAGGCAGCTCCTGCTCTCACCAGTCCTGATGCAACGCTCTGCCCGTCCAAGCGGTTAAAAGGCGTTCTAGACTTTTTCTCCCCCACCCCTGCGCAAGAGTTTCCGCAGCTTGGCTGTACGCCCAGGCCTAGGACTCCGGCGGCTTGAAGAATCGTCCAGGCCAACGTGCACCAAAGCGGCTGCCTGGATTGGCCGAAGGGTCGCGAACGCCCAGCGACCACACATCACCAAACACCGTGCCATCCCACGCATTTGAATGAGGCTTGCCACCACACGCCTGTGCTACCGTGCCCTCAGGCCGAGGATTCCAGTACACACGGAGAAAAAAACTCCGTACAACCCGTTTCTTCCACCCTGCAGCACAGAGAAATTCACCTCCAAATGATGCGAATAAGCTGAGACTGAAACTACGCAAGCGGATGAGTGCCATGTACCAGTACTCTGTGTACTCATTAACTTCGAAATAAAAAAAAATGCACCACTTGTGATTTAACCTACTTCTGGCGCCAAATGCCCATTCTCCTCGTCCAGCTAGCCACCTCCATCTTGAACGTGGCGGTAAATGGAGTTTCGACCGCCAAAACCGTCTTTCTTATTGACCAACAACGGTACATTAACTACCGGGTTTTTGTCCACTCGATGACTGGACCTACAATGAAAGTAGCCCTGGAGGTTAGCAAATGGATATGACTTGACTAACCACTGAACCATCTTGTCTTCGTTCAAAAAGACCGGTCAACTAAAAATCCACACATTTAGACCACATTTTCAGCGGAGGACAGCGGAAAAAAAAATCAAAAACAAGAAAAAAACGTATAAGTTGTGTTAATAAAGAAAGTAATAATACAATAACGTATAGCAGACTCAGCACCACACACCCTGTCATTTTGCACAATTTATGTGCAATGAAATGCAGGAAGTTACTGAGGGGGAGCGAATAAAAGTGTTATCGCACACCACCCAGACTGAGAGGGGAGGCAACCGATATAAATAAAACCAATCTCTTCACTCTAAAGAATACCAACACACCAACGATTACATCCAACAGTACAAACTGTAAAATAAACTGGGGTCTGGAGAAAAAACCATCCGTATGAACCCCTTCTCGTTGCAAAAACACCCTGCCTCCTCAAACCCATATGGAGGTTCTTGTACGCGGAGCTCGCTGGTCCCCCCTCTCCAGCGTTCATCACGTTGCATGTGTACCGCACCCCCCGGCGCTGAAACCCGAACGAGGTCAAACCAATCCTGACCCTGGGGGAAGGTCACACACGCCTCCCAGCCACTGCTCCTCGCTCGTTCA